ATACTCCGCCCAAAAGCCACCACGAAGAAGCCTAAGAAGAACAATTTTCTTCTTTGTCTTTCTTCTTCCTTCTACTTCAAGGAACTATCGCTTGCACTTCTCTTCCTCTGCCCCAAGGAAACCTTCCTCTATCCCGAGAAAACCGAAGAACTCAAACTGTGACTTCTAATGTGACTTCTAAAACTGGACTTCTAAAACTGAAGGAGAGCGGTCCAAAGCCTTTTATCACGAGCAGGAAGGAACAAAGAGATGCTTCGCTTCGCAACAGATGAAGGCGGGAGCGGTTGGCGCCTACGGTTCGCGAATCGACTCCAGAGGGAACAATCGCGACTGTTTCATGATAGAAGCTGGAGCGCGAAGCGGGAGATCGCGAGTTTCGCGATCGGGTGAGGTCGGAGCGGGAAAAATCGGGCTTCAACGCTTAACAATCTCCTACTTGGAGACCGATACACCTGCTACAATATCTTCTTCCTCAAACTGTTTTCCTCCACTGATTGTGTCGTCCATTTCTTCAAACATGAATCCTCCATGAATCCTCTAACTTGAATCCTCCACCTCTGCAACTCAAAGCCTCTGTCTTCACTTCAGAAGACTTCAGTTTCTCAAGAGTAATACCCTCAATCAATATATCAACAGACTCCATATAGCTTTGCACCCCCAAGCTATTTCCTGGGTCACTCTTGTCTCTTCTTTACAACTTCCACTGCATGGGCAACAACCTGTCTCTGCTAAAAGCATTTTTCAACAAGTCTAGCCCTGTACCTCTTACCGTCTCTTTCTGACATCACGCTCAGTCTTCACCAGGTACACCCACTTATTGTATAATGCCTTCTTCCTAGATGGAAGATCTGCCAACTCCCAAGTCTGATTTTCTAGCAGAGAATTCATCTCCTCATTCATGGCTAGCTCCCACTTGCTCAAATTTTTATCTTGTAAGGTTTCTTCATAACTTTGAGGTTCTTCAACATCCGTCAGTAGAATGTAGTTTAAAGTTGAAGAATAATGCTATGGAGAACGTATAACCCTTTCTGACCGGCGAACTGCAATTGTAGCGGTAGACTGCTCTGAAACTGACTATGGAACAATAGAAGTGGATGCCCCGGATCCACTCTCCTCATCACCTGCATCTCTGTACTGCACTGTGGCCTCTGACAAATCTTCAAATCTTGCCAACTCAGATTCCTTTAGTGTTGTTTCAGAAACTCTACTGGATTTTTCCTTGTACATAACATTCTCATTGAAAATCACATTCCTCGACCCTAATCATCCCAGAAACGATATCCAAATGCATCATCTCCATAGCCAATGAAATAACACTTCTTTGACTTAGCCTCAAGCTTACTTCAAGCATCAGGATTAATGAGAATATAAGAACGAAAACCAAAAGTCTTAAGGTGAGAAAATTTTACCTTTTTCTCACTCCAGACTTCTTCAGATAATTCACAATTTAATGGAACATATTGCCCCATGTTTATCAAATAAACTGCAGTACTGACCGCTTCTACCCAGAAAGTATGTGGTAGTCCGACGTGCAATCTCATATTTATGCGCTACACAATACCATTTTGTTGTAGTGTCCCTGGAATGGTCTTCTCCATTCTGATTCCCTGAGCTGCACAGTGCTCCTTGAATCCACCATCAATATACTCACCACCATTGTCAGACCTCAGACATTTCAATTTTAAGCATGTCTCTGTCTCAACCATGACCTTCCAAATCTTGATATTGAATACACTAAATACATCAGATTTATACTTCAAGAAATAAACCCATACATTTCTGCTATGATCATCAATAAATGCGATGTAGTAACGAGAGTCTCCAAGAGATGCCACTGGAGAAGGTCCCCACACATCTGTGTGTACAAGATCCAACTTTACTCAATAAACTGACATTCTTCTGTTTCTCCAGAATAACTCTCACAGATGCCGAGATCAACTAACTTCAATTCTTCGCCCTAAATTTCACAACATAAATAGTCAGCTTTATTCACAAATCTTTTTATCCATTTATTTTTAAAAATTGTAATTAAAAAATCTCAGATGTATAAAAATATAAGAATGAATGATTTGCACGATAATGCTTCTATTTAAAATTCATAACTTATACTCGGTTGCGAATTCGGAAACGCGTAGATCAGAAAAAACTCGCCAAAATTCAATTAAATATCAATCAATTTAAAATATTACACTCATTAACTTTTTTTTTTTTTAACCAATTAAAATTGTCTCAATCTTAAAATAAATTTTTAAAAAAGAAAATCAATATAAAGACAAGTTTCCAGCTTGCTTTTTGTCATTTTGGTGATTGGGAGCTGCAGAAAGGCGAATGGAGAAGAAGGTGGCTGTGGTTTGTGGCCTGGCGGGCTTTCTTGGTCTTCTTTCGGCTGCACTTGCCTTTGCTGCGGAGGCTACGAGGATTAGGGTTAGTCGAACTTCCTATCTTCTTGCATGCTGATCACTATTAGTTGTTTTTCGAACTGCGCATGGTTTCTCCATTTTCGTTTGTTTTCTAGAGTTCTAGGTTTTCTAGGCATTTGTGGAGCAGAGAGGATGGCGAATTGTAGAGGTGGGCAGCAAGGCGGGAATCGCCGAGCAGTTGGGTATGTTTCGTGTGCAGATGAGTGGAGTGGCTGGAGTCCACATGGCTAGGCTGACGGCAATTTATGCCCTAACTCTGACGAGCGTCCCTCCCTACTCTCCTGGTTTTGCCCGAAAATAACAGTATTGTTACTTTAGGGTGTTAATTAGATAAAATTCATAGTTTCAGGTGGTATGTATGTAAACCCCCCTTGTTTCTATTGCTGCTGCCGGTCTTTGGGGGCCTCAAAATTGTGATGTTTTTTTTAATTGGTGATATCAGAAGTTTTTACGTGGAAAATCCAGAAAAGAAAAAAATCACGGGGCTGACATAGCTGAAGAGTACTACAGTAAAAAGATGATTACTGTTGTAACCACTTGTCCCATTGGTGGAAAAGGGTTATTAGGTTTTCCAAATTACAACGTCGACCGACGACAACTAATAGCGATTTGTGGCCTCCGGTCGGTGGTGATTGACGGTGTTTCGTAGTGATCGATGACAGTCAGTAGTGTTTGACAGCGATAGGAGTGTTCGACGGCAGGCGTTGGTTGTGGACAGCGGTCGGCGGTTGTTGACGGCGGCAGAGAGGTGTTGGACTTCAATTTTTTCTCAAAGCTTCAAGTATTTTTTCAAGACTCAAACTCTCCTCTCCCCCCTCATGGTCAGACGATTCAAAAGACTTCCCTCTATCATATGGCATTTTGAACATCTGAGTGCCTTAATGATGTAAGAATTAAGTGATCTTGAGTTCATTGGATTCGTCTTGTCAAGACGCTTAATTTGGCTATGGACTCGTCAGAATCAAAATTCATTTTACCTTCTAAATGTGTCCAAAAAAATTTTCAAAAGCGGTTTAATGACTTGATCTAGGCTTGATTTGGTTTGGATTGGAGCAATTTTTGTAACATTGGGTTCTTCTTGTCGAGCCAGTCAGTTTGACTATAAGTTTGCTGAAATCAGAGTTCTAAATGATTTTTTATTAAGGTTTGAATATTTTTTACTCAAAAAATTACCTCGAGATCCATGTCATGCCTCAAGATTCGTGTCGAATGATGAAATTTTATTAATAGAGTATCAGTTGCCCCTTATGTTCGGGCTATATTAATTTTATTATCCAAACATATTAAAATCTGAAATGATTTTTCTGAAATCATTTTTATTTTTAATGATATGCATTCATATATATTGCAAATTTTCATGCACGCTTAATTAAAATTAGGTATTTTGAGAGAGGACTATTTATATCTTATTTCTTGTTTTAGACTTTAAGATTTGTTTGTGTATTTTAGAGATTATATCTCTGATTTCTAATATAAGGGGTGTTGTATAATTTTTAGTTTTCAAGTGGTGTGTTTGTAGCTTATGCAAGAACAGACGGTGAATGACCTCGCCATCCGCATATTATCGTTTCAGAGCTCTCATTGTTGTTTTCAATCGGGATAGTTGTTGAACAATGCTTATCCCCATCCAATTGTCGTCAAACTCACATATTACCATTCATTGCCATTGCATAATCAGCTCTCCGCTAAATCCCCTTCCTAAACACCTTCGAGGCTTCGTGAAAGTTTTAGAGGCACTAACTATCACACCCCGGGTCCGGAAGGCGACGCATACCGACAACTTAGGACGTGATGAAAGGATTCATATTTATTTTGTATTCACGAAAGGAAAAAATTTATACATGCAAGTCAAGTTAAATTTTATTTCATTTTATAAAAAAAAGCTTAACAACTGATATAACTAGAAGAAAATAAAAAATAATTGAAAAGAAACTAAAATAGTAATGGATAATTATACAGTAACAACAACAATAACAACAACAAGCATTTATCCCTCCTAGTGGGGTCGGTTACATGAATCCTTTCTCTCCATTGTGTCCTACTGAGTTTTATATTTTCATTTACTTCTAATAAATTAACCTATTGAGTTTTATATTTTCATTTACTTCTAATAAATTAAATATCATTTTTTTTATAACAGGCTAAATTATTTTTTATACAACATGCCAATATCTTTTTAGTATATCCTTACCTTTCTTAATATAAGTCGAATCTAAAATATCCACATTTTTAATCGGATTTTCAGATAGTTTACGTTTTAATGTGAACAAATCTTCTAAGACGATTTTCTCTAGTTGTGTCTGCCACTAGAGCTACACCAACCCTTTCACGAATATATTCTTTTCACATTCTCTCTTAAGTGTAAAGTCACTCATTCACCTAAGCATTCTTATCTCATCAATACCTAACTTAGTTTTATACTTCTCTTTTATAGGCCAATATTTTGCGCCATAAAGAATCACAAGTCTCACCACCATCTTAAAAACTTACTTTTAAGTCTAAGCGGCACTTTTCTATCACACAATAAGCCCGATGCATTCCTCCACTTCAACTATCCAACTTGAATTCTACTAATAACATTGTCATCCATATCACCATTACTTTGAACATTAAACCCGAGACATTTTGAAGGATTCACATTAAGTTAAATAACATTTTTATTAATTATCGAGATTGATATAAAGGTTATTAAAGTGAGGTGCTTTGATATATATATTTTATAAATGACATTGTTATTTATTGAAATAATTTAATATTTAAAATAATGGAGAGATTATTTACAAGATATTGGTCTTAGAATAATAGAATAATATTGAATATATGATGTATAATTTTAATTACTATGATATTAACAATTATCAATTAGCGTTAATAAGCACTATAACACTAAGTAGATGTGATTTGTTTAGCTGTATGGACTCTATTATATAGAAGGTTAATGGTATAATTAGTTCAACAATTTTATATGGATTTGATGTTTGATGGTAAAAAAAAAACGGTTTATAATAAAGTTGAGCATGACATAAATGAGAGCTAAAAAATGAATGCATAATAAAAACTATGTATCGTAAATTAATGATTGATTGATTGCTATTTTTTGATTAAAATTTAATTGAGAATAGTTTTAAATGGTTTGGATATGTGCAACATACAATAAAAAATAAACCTAGGGGAGGAGAAGATAAAATTAAGGTTGGAGGTTTTAAAAAGTGGTGTAAAATTGATTTTTTTTTTTGAAAATGATTTGTTAAGAATAAGTTCGACACCTTGAAAGTACTAATATGAATGAATGGAAAATGATTTTTGATAAAGCTAGCTCCGAATAGTTTGGATAAGGTTAATGATGATGTTGATGATGATAATAATAATGATAGTTTGGAGTTCTACAAATACAATTAGATCAACTATATTATAAATATTTTAGTGTTGGGAAGTAAAAAAAAATCATTAATAGATATGTTGAGTGTGGAAGAAATGAGAATATTAAGGATTATGGCAAAATTAGGAAATATTAATTGAGAAGTATAATGTAGCACCTATTGAATGAAAATTGTTAGAAAATAAATTAGGGGCTTGCATAAGGAAAACTAGAATATGTATCAATACAACTAGCAGATAAAATTAATACAATAAGATTAACATAAAAAAATGGGTGGACCATAGATGACATGGATAAAAGTTGTATGAATGGTTTTCGTGTTATTGGTTTAACATCTCTTGTAATGCTCAAAATGGATAAATGGAGAATGTGGATTTATAAAGCTGACCTCAAATAGTTGGGATAAGCCTTATTGATGATTATAATTTAGATTTTATTCTTGAATAAATCAAGAGGTAGTTTGGTTTAGCATTATTTGCAATAAACTGATATTTAAATGGTTAGATAATTTAACAAAATTAATTGATTTAGAGAAATATTGTACATTAATTATGGCTAACTCACAAAAAAGAAGTAAAAACTTTTGGGAAGCTCATTAGATACTTGAACAAACCCTCTAGATACTTAAAACAAATTCTCTACTTCATTCAAGTCCTCTTTCAATGGGAGAAGGCTTGAGTGGAGGTGAAGCATGCAGTTATACAAGTGCATGATTTTTGTTTATTTTTATGACTTTAAAATTTTAAATGCTGTTTATATTAGAAAATTACTGATGTATTGCTTGCATTGATTTTCTAGTATTTCTCATTTTCATCAAAAAGTAACAAAAAGTTGTTAAATTAAGAGTTTGTAATTCATGAATTTGTGTGTTTGTATGATTTTTTTTTTTGGCATCTCATTGTTGATCTGCATTAACAAAACCTAACACGTCCTGCACCAGTTAACAACTCAAAGTAGGATCTAAGCTTTCAAAAACTACAATTAAGAATCTTAAGGTTATCTGGAAGGAGACGTGGCAAGTGAAAGCTTGAGCGGCTACGATAGAACTCTGATAAAAGTGCAAACAAAAGAAGGCTTGGAGGTTGTCGCCAGAGCAAAGTAGGATTGTTGCAACAAATTGTGTATTTATAGAATTAAAAGAACTTGAACGAGACTAGCATGAGTAGGTCACCAATCTTTTGTTAAATTGCAAATTTACTTGAATTCGCCATGTTCAGATGAATTTGTCTGATGGAAGTTGGCCATCACTTATATTAGCCTAACTTGATCAACCAAGTCAATTGGTCAAAAGCTATAAAAAAATAAAATAAAATAATGGCATTGGCTTTAGATGATTTTGGGGGGAGATGTTAAATCACTAATTTATTACTGAAATTGAGGATAGCTCACAATTAAGAGGGAAGTATTACACCTTTAATTTGTCTAACAATTCATATTTTATTCCACTAATTTCTTTTAGAAAGCACTATGTGAATGATGAGAGAGAGTGGATGGAAGGATGTTGACAGTGAATTAAGATTCTTGAAGAACTTGATAACCATTGTGTGTATGCACATTTCAAATTTTTGATAAATTAAAATAATTTTTATTTTCTCCAAGCAAGTGGTTTGGCAAAAACTATACTAGAATTAGGGTAGAGGGTGTGTTTTTTATGTTTGCTTTGTCAGTTTATCTGAGTAGTGTCCAACTTATATGAATTTTTTAGATTCCAATTAAAAAGAATGCACTTCGAACATTTTTATATGTGCTAGGTACCATTACAGAGAATCCCACTAAGCTCGTCCAATTTTAGATGAACCATAGCTTGAATTGCTACCAACTTATCAAATACTTGGTTCAAAATGTACAACAAAAGGGCTCAATTTTAGAGAATTTATTAGTATATCTGTGGTATAAGAGGGATAACTTCAGTAAAAGATGGAGAACATAGGGCAGAAGGGAATTATTTCGTTTATAAAGAAGTAGAAATTATAGAGATATTTTTTTCAAACAGAGGAATAATCATAGAGATAATTTCAGTGTAAAATTATATGCTGGTTTAAGTGGATGACAGGTTTTTAACTATAGAAAAATGATAGAAAGACAATAACAGATTCAAAGGAGGGAAGGAACTGTGTAGTAATACTACTAAAAATAGTGAATAAGAGATGAAATCCAAAAATGATCAAAATTTTGAGTCATTTTATAAGAGAGGCTTCAAAAGAAACTATTATCATCCTTTTATTTTGATGATCAAGAAAAGGTGACGGTTGATGTTGAGACCATTTTAAACTCTAAAACCAATCATTTATTTTTACTTTAAAATTTTGTTTTTATTTTTTATTATTTATTCTCTTACTGCCATTTCATATGATTTAGCTTGTTAAGTCTTAATTATCCTATGTCTATTTCTGATCAGTTGAGCTCTAGCATTTATTTTCTAGGATATAAGATATTTCATGTTACTAAGAAATAATACTTAGATATCGTAACCAGTTAGTAATGTATTTATTATCAAGTCAAATGTGAACTAACAATTTTTTTTTTATTTAACACCAACTTGATGAAAAAAAAATTTGATTTTAATGGTAAAATTTTCTTTCATTGTAAAATTTTCCTTCAATGGGGTCCAAATTCAAAACATGCGTTGTACATAATCCTAGACTGCACTCAATGACTTTCAATAGTAAAATATTTAAATAAAAATAAACTAAATATTTAATTGCATGAAGTAATGTATATATAAAAATGTTTGGAAGCATATTTATGTGTATCAAGCTCTTATTGATCTTATCCAAGCTGAACATAATTAAGCAAGTCATTGTTCGTGTTTTTCTTGTACACGATATGTATTGAAATTCTTGTTTAAGACCAGTCCGTTTAATGAATGATCACGTGTTTTAATGAATGAGTTGATCACGAGTAATTATTAAGCCGAACAAATGCTATTTAAGAGCATCAAACTTTTTTGTCAGTCCAATTACATGCTTAATGCTTGAGTTTATTAACAAATCCAGTTGAATTGAGTAGATTTTTGGTCAAAACAGGCCTATCATGAACTTTTTCCTGTCTAAGTTTAGTTAAATGGGTGTATTTCTTTTCTTTCAGGCTTCGGATGTGAAAACAAAGAATCCCGATCAATGTATTTATCCAAAGAGCCCAGCTGTATATCTCGGACTATTTTCAGCACTTGCCATTGCAATGGCTCTAGTTGTCATCAATTTTGTTACTGGGTGCGTTTTCTGCAAGAGAAATTCAAATCACCACAACACTGACCGGACTGTAGCATTGATATCATTCGTTGTTTCTTGGTAATCTCTTGGACTAGATGACTATTATGTTTCTTATACATGGAATATGGCAGATACGTTTAGATACGCATGTAGGGGTGTATATGAACCAAGATTGAGCATGTCTTCAAATTTTTTTTGGGTATTTACATACATACCACACAATTCTTATGGATTTGCATATCTAATACCTAAACATTCATATTTACATTTATAACACTCAAATTTTTAACATCACATCAAAAGTATCACCATAACTATCTTTTTAAAATAAAAAATGCTCGTTTCATGCATAGGTCTATGACATCAAGGCGTTATAAATATAAATATTAAACTTTGGTTAAGCATGTAAATACATGATAATTGTGTGGTATGTATATAAAATTTTCAATTTTTTTGTTCAAAATCGGCTCTTGTTCGAAATGGCTCTTGAATGGTGTGTTCGTGTTTGACTCGATTCAAATTTGCTTGTTCGATTTAGCTCGTGTTTGGCTCAAATTTATATCAAATAATTAAAATTTTTTTTTTGAAAATTTGCATAAAAATTATTATAAAATGTTATAATAAGTATAATTTTCTATTTTTTAAATTAATTCAAGCAAAAAAGAGTTATACACAATCAAATAAAGGTTGGTTTGTTTTCGGCTTGTTTATCACGTGATCAAAAAATTTTTTGTGCTCAGTTTGTTTTCTTAATAAACGAATCGAATATGAGCCACTTAGCAAGCCAAACATGAGTTGTTCATGAATGATGAGCTTTTTTGACAGCTCTATATGATGCACATTGCATAGTGCATGAAGTGCATGTTACAAAAGATTGATGCATTTTACATGCTACATGAATTCAAACGAGTTTGATGTTCAGAGATTTATCCTTGTCAGACTGTTGATTTTGAAGTTTCCCGAATGAATTCTATTGTTATTGTTCGAGTAGTTTTTCTTTCATGCAAATTGATGTAGCTCTTTCTATTTTATGTTCTAGTTAATTAAATGCATAAGAAGTCCTTAACAGATGGAATGAATTCTATTGTTATTGTTCCAGTAGTTTTTCTTTCATGCAAATTGATGTAGCAAGTTCACTTAACATCTCTTTCTATTTTATGTACTAGTTAATTAAATGCATAAGAAGTCCTTAACAGA